AAGCACAGGCAGGAAGCAAACATACAGACAAAACCAACAACAATGACTATACAAAACAGAAAAACCTCAATCAAAGGGAAAGAAAGAAGCTTTAGAATGTACCAAAAGGGAGAGCAAATCATTAAGTATTACATTTTAACCTAACTACATCTTCCATAAGAAAATACAAGATGTTATCTTCCTGATAGCAAAGCTATTCACATCCCTGGACAATGGTCAAAAGGGATTCACCAGAGAATCCATGTGGGGACCCTGTAAATGGATTTTGGGTTTTCTACTGTCATCTGCAAAATAGGTGTTCACAATTTAAGTTTTGATACCATTCCCACCTTTAGATTCTGATCTTATCATTCATAATCCTTGGACACACAACCTAGTGTGCTTGTTCCATGTAGACTTAGTTTAGCTTCACTTAGATAACTGCCTGTTTTAAAACAAGTCTTTAAAACCCAGACACTATTGTTTCTGATAGCCAAGCACCATCTAGTTTCTTCATGACTCTGCATCCATATCTTCAGTAATCTCTCTCTCTGAGACTGCATATTGAACAGGGGCATATCATATTGATGAATTGTTCATAGACTGGGGATAGAATTAAGTGTGAGCCCCAAATCCATAGAAGATAAAATTTGTATATGCCGGGTCTCATGTTGATCTTCTCCTACTAGATCTAAAATTTTGAAACTCCCGTGTCTTATCTCTATAAAAAACATTGTTCACTTTTTTAAAAGTCCAAAACCAAACTCTGCACTATCAAGTCAATTCCCACAGAGTAGAACTGGCCCTGTGGGTTCCTGAAACTGAAAGTCTTTAAGGAGGAGAAAGTCTTTTCTTTCTTTTGTGGATTGACTGGTGGTTTCAAACTGCTGACCACGTGATTAGCAAGCCAACACATAACCCACTCCATAACCATGGCTCCTCCTCTTTTATAAGTCCATGATAAATATATCTGTGTTAGACCATGTTGACTAGAGAAGCAAATCCAGAGACCCTCATATAAGTGTAAGCAAGAGCTTTATAGATAAGGAAAACATTCCAACCCAGTCCAACTTAAGTCCATAAGTCCAAGACTGGTCTATAAGTCCCTCTTCAGACTCATGCAGCCACAAGCAATGATGTAGACTGCAGGAAGATCACAGGTCAGTGGGTGCAAATCTTGTGGATCCAATGGCAGCGGGGGATGCATCTCCAGGGACATGGCTGTGACCAGGGTCTGCCAGCAGGAAGGTGAAGGCAGCGAGGTGGGGAGGAGGGGTTCCTAGAGCCCTCCTATGAGAAGGCCACACCCACAAGGAGGCATCATCAGGCTGCAACCTGATTGACAGGCTAAACTCCACCCCTACACTTTTATACAGCTTCAAGTTGACATGAAATTGCCATTTAAACCGACCCAAATATCAGCTGAGGCACCTAATTTTACCACCAAAACTGCATTAAAAATGTGCTGAAAGCCTCGGCTTATACATGAGTATATATGGTATGTAACTGGCACAAAATAAACAATAACAAACTTTTGAAGATAACAATGATTTTTTATAATTCTGATATCCAAGTAGATGAATTTATATCACCTGGATTTAATCAAACTCTGTTCTTTCTGTACACAGCTCTTATTGGAGTATTTGTCTAGTGATGCACCTAAGAGCTTCATACTCAACATAACTTAACCAATATGCTCCATGTGTCAGTATTAAGAAAAGGAAACAAAGAACTCACACAAGGTATATGAATGTCAAATCCAAATCAGTAAGAATAACATCCGTGAATGCCTTCTTAGAACGCTCCATCAGTTCCCTGCTGCAGGGCTTCCCTATTTCTTTTGCCTTCCCTTTTAAACACTGCTCCATCTTACTCCAGGCACAGCATTGCCCAAGCCAACGATAATGATGTGAAAGATCACCGAACATTTTAAACTTTTGAATGCACTCCGATGACCCTAGCTTCACCAGTAGATAGCTAGATAGCCCAAAGCACACAATTTAATCTTTAAAAATTGGTTTTCTTATCTTTGAAATGAGACTGGACTAGATAATCCTAAAACTCTTTCTAACTCTAAAAATAAAATGTATACCTCCTTAGATTTTCATTCTTGGTCAGCATAACACATCGTTTGTCTTAACCACCAGTTTGTGCTGACGGCTCTCACATCTGCCTCCCTAGTTCGAGTCCCTCTCAAGAGGCGCAGCCCCAGAAAGCAAATGGCCTCCCGGATATCTCTATATAGATATTCCATAGGCTTCTCAAAGGTGCAGTGTACAAAGCATAACTTTCCCTAGGACCTTGCTTCTTTCTGTGTATAATTTACTTGCATTGCCTCTTTCTTCCTTTGACTGAAACTTCGACTCCACTTTCTATTCCAGTAGCATCCACTTACCTTTCTAGACTCAGCTCAAGAATCATTTCCTTGGTGTGAGATTTTTCCTGGATGGCTGACTTCTTTTCCAGGTTGAATTGTCCTTTGCATTTCAAACAATCATGATCAGATTGGTATCAGAAAATGCGTCATTCGTAGATTTTGAAAAAGACACGATCGGCGATCTGGGGATTTCTAATGCCATAGCTCACGGGCACATGTTCTCTTCTCAACCATTACTGAAGGCAATCAGGTCTTCTGCCGCCTATCTCTCTCATCTGGTTCCCAGTTTACAGAACTCACATCGGTCCTAGTCTTTACTTGTTGTGTGCATCCTTGTAGTCTGGGGAGTCTGGTCCTTTTTCACCTGTATCTGCTTTGCAGAGCTCGGCAGCCACCCTTCTGTGTCTTTTCTGCCCTTGCCCATGTTTGAAATGATGGCGACACCTAGTTAGTTGTCAGTAAGTTATGTTCACTCTCAGCGTCCCACGTTGGCCAGTTCTTCCTTTCTTTTTCTTTGGCAAACAACTGAAGTTTTCTTCAGTACGATATTCATATATCAATGAGTTTCAACAAGAGCAATTAGCAATTCTACTTCCAACTCCTGAAAATGTTAATGAAATGTAGACCTGATCCTTAGCCCTCTCTCAGATATCCTTGAGTAAATCAGCTGTCAGACTTGAGGGGCTAAATTTTTTCAGCATCATCCCAGAATATCTCCTACTCCCTGACTGGAAGAAACTCACTAAGGTGATGCATTTTAGCAAGGTCAAGAAACTATCTTTGACATGTGAAAATGATAGAATCAGCTTTTCTTCCCAGCAGGTTTTATTTTATTTATTTTTTAACTTACAAGTGCTAAAGTGGGATACCTGATGGCTTAGTAGATGATATACGTATGAGCTGCTAACAAGGTCAGCAGTTCAAACCCACCCGCCACTCCACAGGTAAAAGACGACGCGTTCTGCTCATGTAAAGATTTACAGCCTCAGAAATCCGGGAGGGCAGTGCT